TTTTTTTTTTTTTTTGGAGACAGGGTCTCACTATGTAGTTGAGACTGACTTGGAACTCACTTTGTAGCCCAGGCTGGTCTGTAACTCACAGCGATCCTCCTACCTTAGACTCCTGGAGTGCTGGGATTACAGGTGTGTGCCACCATGCCCGGCAAGGTAGATTAAATAATTCTTAGGACACCCTGAGGGTTTTACTATGGTCCTCTTTCTCAAAGTCATTTTATCCAGAATCCCAACAACTTGATTCTCTACTTCTGGGAAGCTCAGCCAGTGCTTGCCCCTCCCCTGGAGAATTATTCCACTGCTACTAAAGCCCCCAAGAGATTGATGGCGTGCTCCTGCTGGCTTTTTGTTATCAATAGTTCTTAGGTCGTCACCCCAAGCTTGTATGGTGAGTGAGAGGAAAAGCCAATGACTCCTGTTCTTTACTTTTAACAGTTTTGTGAGACATAATAAGCATATCATACAATTCATACAAGGTTTCTAACACATTTGAAATGTACAACCATCACCAGAATCTAAATTTATATCACAGTGCATGACCATGGTGGCATCAAGGGTAATTAATTACCTGGAGATGGACTTAGTCACCGAGTGGCCCAGAGGGGCTGCTTCCACCCAAGAGGGACCAGCATTTGAGAGGCCCCCAGGAGAGAAATAGCCCTTAAGCTGAGAGCTCTCTGGCTTTTATTTAGAATATCAGTGTAAGAGAAAAAAACAAGGAAAAAGTAGTTTAGGCCAGGAGCTGTCTCAAGGCCAGGCTCAAGTCTCATCTCTAAGTAATCATTCTTCCTCTGCACCACCATGGTCAGACACCACACCACATTTAGAACATTTTCATGGCCATCAATAGTCCTGCATTACCTCCTGCCCCCCTGCCATGGAGCATCTGCTTTCTGTCTCTCTATATAGATTTGCCTATTGGAGATTTCACATATACAGAATCACACAATGTACAGTCTTTGTTTCCGACTTCTTGCACTTAGCACAATATTTTCAAGGTTGACATGTATTGTGGCACATCTCAGTTCTTTCATTTTACATTTATCATTTGATGCTCATATGGGCTGTTTTCTTTTTAGCTACTATGAATTGCACTGCTATGAACATTTATGTACAAGTTTTTGTGAGATCAGGTTTTCTTTTCTATGTACGTATTTAGGAGTAGAAGCTCTGGGTCATACAGTATCTCAGTTTAACTGAGGAAAAATGCAGTACTATTTTTCCAAAGGAGCTGCACTATTACCACTATAACCAGCAATGTATGAATGTTCTAATTTTCCCACGTGCTTATCAACACTTACTATCTACCCACACCCTTGTGAGTAAGAAGTAGTATTTCTCTATGGTTTGGATTTGCATTCCCTGATGGTGAATAACACTGTGCTAACTGACCATCTCTATATATCTTTTGCAGAAATGTTTCTAAATTCTTGCTAACTTTTAATTAAACTATTTATCATTTTATTACTAAGTTATAAAAGTTGACTCTTGTGATTTTAAAAGCTTCAGCCAAAGTATATATTCAGTACATGCAAGAGTTCATCACAAGTAAAAGTAAAGGCCTAACTGAGTTCATTTATACATAATTTAGATTTTGCAGATCTAGTAAATCATTCTTATTGTTCTGGACATGACATTAAATTCACATATTCCAAAGTCTTCAAGTACCATCTCGGTAGCAACAGTAACCACAGTAAGACAATGACACTAACCCTTTCTGTAAGTATACCAGTACAGCCCGAATGTCTGGACTCAAATTCTAGCTCTACCATGTGTCATCTGAATAATGGCAATGACCCTAGTACCCAACTTATAGGGCCACTGTAAGGAAAATGCCGTAGTAAAGGAACATATGTGACCGGCACACAGCAAACACACAATACATGTCAGCAATTATCATTAGTGGTCGAAGGGGAAATGTATGTCAGGGAGGGATGGACAGAGTACTGCTACCTGTGTTTTCCAACACTTGAGTCAGTCAGTGCAGGCAGGTTTCTATAGCTAGCAATAAATATTTTAAGAAATATACAGTTACCCTTATTTTCTCTGGCTGAGACTCTTCAATAATCACATTACTTGTGGGCCAAGTTAACACTCCAGGGAGACGATAAATCAAGGATTTTGCTTGCTCGAAGTGAGTGAGAGCTTCCTGAAATCTATTAGGGAGAAAAAAGAAATTAAAGATGTGACATGGTATTTTTCATGGTATATTTGTTCACCACAACAAAAGTTACAAGACATCAAGCTGATAGGAGGAGCTCACCTGAGAAATCACTAAGTAAAAACATTCATTACAAGTTATATTTTCCTTAAAAACATTAAGGTGTTATTGCTGTTTGCTATTAGAGCAATATAAACTAAATACCACTCTGTCCTGGACTTCAGCTTTATCAACAGTACTTATTCTGAAGCTGTAACTGTTTTACTCAATAAAAGAACCCTCAAGTCCTGGAATAGAGGACTAATCAAGTTTTATTCTTTCCTACAGACAAGAAAGGTTTCATGCTTTCTCAAATACTGAAATAATATACCAATTGAAAAACATGTTTTTGTCTGTAGGTAGAGGGTCATGTGAAGAAAAGCTAAAGCCATTATCTACCATAAGTCAGTTATGAATAGCAGCACTCTGAACCAGAAACTGCACATTACAATGCCAAAAGCAGCATATTAGACAATTAGCACTCATCATGTTATTTAGAATGAAATGCCTTTAACACGGCAAAGACTTCAGTTTATCACAATGTCTATAATTTTACATATTATATTACTTTCCTAGGCCTTAAGAATAACTACATACTATCACTGCATTAAATAGGTATATCCCAAATAATTTACACTAGGCTGCAAAATTAATTTCATTTGCTATTACACAAAGTGACTTCTGAATTCTCACTTTCCCTGCATCTACCTGATCCTTAATATGGTTCAGCCTAGACAGACAATAACTTCATGAAGTAAAAGAACTTCCTTTAATCTTTAAAAATCTATAAAAAGAGGTTACAGGCATACTCTAAAACTGAGTTCCCAAGAGTCTCATAAAACTTCCCCTACAAAGTAAGATGATAATAGGGGCCTGGGGATTTAGCTCAGTGGTTCCACCGCCTGCCTAGCAAGCACAAAGACCCAAGTTCTATCCCTGGTATCCAAAAAAAAGAAGAGATGAAAATAAAAGAATAATTAAAAGTTATCAATGATGATCAGTCACAATCATTTCTCTATAAAGTAATCAAATACAGCTATAACTCTATTCAGTGCAACTGGCAGGAACAGGAATTTCTTTTCTAAAGCATCAGATATAATCCTGCGCCCCATGGTCCTGCAGATGAACATATAAAGAACTTCCCTGACATAAACTGCGAAAAAGGATTTCAACCAGAAGTTCAGAAAGAAATTTCTATTCCTAACTCACAATGTCTCTGAACATATATGTACTTTTTAGTAAAATAATTTTTATATAGATTTTAAAAAATAGGTATTTAACCCAAATATTGTATATAATTATATATATAATCAGTTAAAAGCATTAATTTTATTAATTCAGTCACGATTTATAGGTAATTTATACTAAAAGATACTAATTCATGTAAAATTAGTACTGACTTGCTTTCTTTTCATAATATTGATACTGAGATGCCTCAAAGTAAAACACAATTTAAAATAACAATATAATTCCAGAAAAAGAATTATCATCACACTAGACTTAAAGCGAGTTATCAATTTAGAGTTCAGTGTTATTTCTACTAACCTGTTTTTCTTCAAATATACTTTTCCAATTCCGCAGTAGGCCAAGGAATCAAGTCCCTCATTGGGATAGAATTCAAGAATCCTCTTAAACTGGTTTTCAGCTTCAGATAATTCCTTCAATAGCAGTGAGAACAACCATCACTTATTTATAAAAATGCTAGAACTTTTTTTTTGAAAATTGATTCTTTTGGTGTAAATTCCTATGGAAAATCACATCTTCTGCATTTCATTTTTAAAGAAATGATATAAATTTCTGACTATGTGGTTACTCAGATGGTCATATGGAAATTCAGGGTTACAACAAAATAAAACCAGTCCTGAAAATGTCCAACAATCAACCATTTGAGCATTTATTAGTACACAGTGAGGGCCTTGTGTGTGCTGGCTAACATTAAAAGATGTGAATTCATGGTCTAAACAAAAAAAGACTGACTTTGGTACAAAGAGACCATAACATATATTCTTATCTACATTATGGAAAGACTAGAATTTCAATAATGTTGCCACAGTGTTTGGTAAAAGACAAAGCTCTGTCTTACAAACAGCTCTTGGTAAAAACTTAAAAAGAATGAGCTTAGGGCACATTATTTTGAACATTCTTAAGAGTGGGAAATTTCTGTGCTTTGAAAAGTCTTTATTACAGGAAAAAATCCAAAAGATATTTAGTTCGAAGAAATACTAATAACCCTATTGTTGGTGAAAACAGAAATAGGAGCTTGCAAGTAACTGCAAGGACATTTCCAAAGGAAGAATTTAAAAAATGTTTGAAACCAGGGCTGTACTGGCACATATACGTATGGCTCCCTTAAGGAACTACTCTGATGAAAATGTATTAAATGTATAAGTTCTACCATATCTGCATATTTTTTAAAAAAATTAGTCGCAGAAGAAGCAAGATACATCATGTACAGGTACAAATTCCCTATGATGAGAGTTATCATTATATATAGATAAAATGTACCAATGAATTTTTTTTAATTTAAAAATCAGTTTCATTACATCACAGTAAATCACAAATACGATAAACTATTTCATCAATTCTGATAAGGCAAAAGATAGTATTTATTATCCTGTCAAGACAGAATTAAAGTCACAAAGCAATGCTTCAAAACAATGCATTAGAAAACAGAATTAGGTATCAATGGAAGACATTTCACCTGTTACATCAAGAACAAGGAAAATGAACCTCAGGAACTGTGGATTGCCAAGGATGAATGGAATATAAAAGACACCCCGGATCTTAACAATGAAGGAATGTAGGGTTAAGCTTGTAACCAAGGGAACTTTGAGCCCAAATCATCAGAAAGAATGTATTACACTACTTGAGGTCATTCTAGAGCACCTCAACATTTACCGGAAACACCAACCCACAGGAAACAATTATTAAGCTGAACAATGCAGGTTAACAAGCATACCAGGAAAGGACAGGCAGCATGCACCATGGGAACTGTGGGAACTCACTCCTACACTCAGATTACCCAGTTACAGGAGAAGCAATCAAACAGCCATGTACTCACAACCCAGAACTAAGAAATATTGGCAAGATCCATTTTACTTTGGCTTTTCTAATAAAACTGCATAACACAAAGTTGAAGTCTCTTTTCTGACCTCTCCAGATCCATTCCTCTCTTCCATCACTAAATGCAACCATTATTTTTTAAATGAATTAATTAATTAATTAATTTATGTATTTATTTTGGTTTTGGCAAAACTCTTTATTTAGTATTCTGTAGTTGTTTAACACACACTTAAATGGTCTTACTGGGGGAGGGGAAGGGGAGGTTCTTGCAGATTCCCAAGGAAATGTCAGAAAGGCAAATTATGGCCAGCATTATCCATTTGCTTTTGTGGGTTTACTGGGAGAATAGCATTTTCCTTACATAAGTATCTGATCTCAGGCTTTTCCATACTGAGAACACGGAGATTTCAGTTGGAAGGCACCCTGAAATCCTACGAGTATACCCAATCAGCCTCTAATAGCTAACTTGGCTGTACAGGCAGAATGGTTCATTCTAAGATCTTTCACAAATGTCTAGCCATCTAGATATACACTGATCTCCACTGCAACCATTATTTTAATCTGATAAAGAATAACCCCCCAAAATTTTAAAATTTTCAAGATGCATAGGTATCTACAAACAATATATACGATTGCTCCGTATGTGTGATCCTCTCTGTACTCTCCAATTTGTCCTTCTCCCTTAATGTTATATTTCTGAAATTTACCATGATTGTATATCACATTAGACACATATCACATTTTAATTGTGTATTATTTCTACTTCCAATCTTACCTCAGGTCGTCCTATTCCAAGCAGAGACATAGCAAGTCCATAGACTACTAATACATAGTTAATCATAGCCAGGTTCAATTGCTGTCGACAAAAACACTTTAGTTAGTTGACTGTAACTCTGCAATATGCATCATGCAAAAAGACATATGGTAACTTTTCACTAATCAATGTGATTCTGATAAAGATATAGGATAGGATTAGAAAATATATTCTGTAAATATAAGTTGTTATTTTGCTATCAAGTATTTAAAACAGAATCAACGACTCAAAGTTACTTAAAGCAGAGTTACTTAAGGCATAGATCACAACAATTTTTTAAAGTTTTGGTACCAGGAATCGAACCCAGGCCCATATACTTGTGAGGCAAGTGGCAGAACCACTGAGTCAAATCCCCAGCCCCAGACAGCATTTTAATTAAAGCCATTTTCTTGTGCATTCAAGTGAGAATTAGCTCATATTTTCTTGCTTGATGACAAGATACGATTTAAGTGAGCCCAAACCCCTGATTTAGTACTTTCAAGAAAAGAAAAGGCCAGGAAGTTGGAATGAACCCCAATGATGGTTGAGTGGGTATAAACTCAGACTATACATGGAGGATAACTATCACCTGTTTCCCACCAGGTGGAGGAGACCCCCATCTCTGCACAGCAGAACACGTATTAATGCGAGTTAAAACTGATTCACTTCTAAATCCATCTGAAATGCATTAGCACTGTCAAATCATTATGAGCTGGCCATGTTACCTTTATCTTTTGGGGATCTAAGCCATTTAGCAATTCTGAGAAGGACTGAGCAGCACTGCGACAGCGCTGGTCCAACAAGGCAGTGTAACCATCTTGGATTAAGCTTCTCAGCATTTTCATAATATTAGCAAAGTCCTGCAAAAAAGAATTCTATTTCAGTACTCCAGACCTGTACCTTTTAGTTTAAAGCTTAAGATGCTAAGCTCATCAGTAATACTTTATGAATGACAGTATTTCAATACCCTAACTATCCTTTTTCCAAATGGCACCTTGAAATTAAAATACAAAGCACTGCTCTACCATCTTCATCTACTATGTCTGCCACTGCCCAGGACAAGAAAAAGTGTTCTTCATTTTACTCTGCATGTGCTAGCCCTTGTTTGCTCTCTCAGACTAAAGAGACAATGTTTTGAAGTTTTTAATGACATATACGGAGAACACCAGTCTGTGCACTCACTATCACATTTTAACAACTGCTACCCTGCCCTGAGACAGACTTTAATTATAAGCAAGAAATAGATATTCCGATCTTAGAGTCTACTCCTGCTTAACATGTATTTAAATGTAGTCAGACAAAATTATTTAAATACAAAAGGAAAAACATAAGAAATTTTCAGGATTTTATGTAGCTCAGTGGTACAGTGATTGCCTAGCATGCATGAGTTCAAACCATAGTACTGCAAAAAGAAAAAATAATCCCCAAATTATTCTAATTTACCTTTAAATAAATTAAGAAACATTTTGTACTCTGAATACATTTGCACACAAATGGTATAATTTGAATTCAGAGTTTCGTTACATGGTAATCACTGTAAGCCAGAGTCACAAAAGACTGGAGAGGTGAGCCTCAACAGTGAGCTGAGATCAATTTATTCTTTCCATGAATGTGTACTCTGTTTGCTGGAGCAGGAAACGCAAACCTGACTTCCTCACTTATCTAACAATAAAGATCTAGAAAAAGAAAGTCATTGGTGACATATTAACAAAAGCTTCTTAATAGTTTCTTCTATTCATCGACTCAAAGGCTAGAATCTTCCCCAGAAACATGCACAGGAAAGAGCAGCTCTCTCACAAACCCAGTATTTGTTATGGCATTTAAAACATACATATATTGCCATATTTAAGCATGAATTTCAGAATTTAGAAGATGATAATGTTAAGCCCACAAGTACTATCACTATAAACTGATTCAAGTTTAATCTCTTCCTCATTCTATTTATTTGTTTACTTTTGTACTGGGGATCGAACTCGGACCTTGTGCTCTCGAGGCAGGTGGTAGCACCACTGAGTTACATCCCCAGCCCTCTACCTCATTCTAGACAACAGATCCACACAGCCTGTTTTCCCTGGAAATTATTTCCCTCAATGCCAGACAACAGGGACCAACTGCACAGAAGTAGGCTGGATCACATCCCCACAGATCCAGCCTCTCTCCATGTTCCGCACATGGGCGGGTCCCAATAAAAATGTGTAGAATGAACAGATGGTGATACAAAAATAACTATCATAAATATTTAAATAATCTTTCATCCCTATAGGCTGTCTTTTCTATTTTAAGTACTTCATGTTTTTAGAGTCAGTAAGATCAATGCAAGAACATATCCAAATATACCCAACTACTACATATTCTAAAAATGCTTTTATACAAATTATAGAAATCAAGTTCATTCATTTGTATGATATGTAGACCTAAAATAATTAACTGAATTTTTTTTGTTTTTTTGGTTTTTTTGAGACAGGGTCTCACTATGCAGTGAGACTGACCTGGAACTTAGTCCAGGCTGGTCTTGAACTTGCTGCAATCCCCCTGCCTCAGCCTCCCAAGTGCTGGGATTATAGGTGTGCACCACCATGCCCGGCATTAACTGAATTTTTAAATGACACATATTTTGAAACAAGTACCCTTGTTTCCATGTTAATATACATTTTTATTACTAATTAACATTACAAAATTTATATACAAAGCTTATTTTATATACACAGCTTACATGATTATATTAAATCATTCAAACAAAAAATTTGCTCTTTAATGATTTCAGAGTAGATATAATGAATCTGCACATCTAAATTTCTGAAAAATGTTTAAAGTTAATATTACTGTTAAATCTTAGGGAAAGAATTCTGTGGTATCTCTCATTCATTTGTTAAATCTACTGGCTAACAATTATCACATTAATAAATTAATAAATTAATGATAGTTTGGTTTCTTAATCTACGACTAGAACTTGTGAAAAATATCCAGTTCAAAGAGTTTTTTTTCCCACTGGAAAAGTGTTTTTCCATTACCTGCTGAGCAGCTCTGGAAGATTTAGAAAACTCTCTCTCCAAGAGCTTTCTCCAATCTACTGGCAAACCCATCTCTGAACTAGAGCTAGAAGAGAAAAGCATTTGTTTTAATCATTTAAAAAAAACAGTTCTAAAGAAAAAAATATGTTCATTGAAGGTCACTTAAAATATTGAGTAAATGGAAAATCATACAAGTTCCAGAACAGAAATAATAACCAAGATGTTGATTTTCTCCCAAATTAAATTCAGTCTAATCTCAATTACAATCCCTATAAAATTTAGAGAAAAAACATACTTGACTTTCTCCGATTCATTGTTTCGGGATTTATGTCTTCCTCTATGTCTTGGAGGATGACCTGTCAATATAAAGCATTTGTTCCTGAAATATGTACATAAAAATCTATAAACCTCAGAGTAAAACAAAAGTACACTATATGGGAATAAGAAAGCCAAAGGGGCCGAGGGACTTAGCTCCGTGGTGCCGCTGCCTGCCTTGTAAATGCAAGGTCCTCAGATTGACCCCCTATAACAACAACAAAAAAAGAAAGCCAAAAAAGGAATATTGTGTGTAAAAGTAACCATAAACAGCCAGGGATTTAGCTCAGTGGTTCTGCTGCCTGCCTTGCAAGCATAAGGTTCTGAGTTTGATCCCCAGTACAAAATAAATAAACAAACAAACAAATGTAACCATAAACAGATAAGCCAAAAAAGAAGATACTGATGATGGTGTTTTATGTGTGTTGTAAAATTATTATAAAGGTAAACTATAAACCAGGTGTGGAGTGAACACCTGTAATCCCATCATGCAAAAGGCTAAAGCAGAAGGGTCACTGTGAGTTCTTGGCCAGCCTGGGATTGATAAGCTCAAGGCCAGCCTGAACTACATAAAGACCCTATCTCCAAAAAGCCAAAAAAGAAAAGAAAAGATAAATTATAATAGCAAAAGTATTTAGGTCTAAAGTAAACCTAAAGAGAAACAAGTGACAGCTTATATCTTTTGGCAGAAAGGATCAATCACTCCAGTAATTAAACAACAATCACCATTATGAAGAAAAGAAGATAGTGTGTCATTATCAGTATATTAATTCCACAGTTAGTAATTTCTCTCATTAACTCACAAAAGGCAGAAATCACTTAAAGGGAACAGTTAGGAAAAGCACAGTGAAGATTCAGTATTTGTATTTAGTTTTGAGCAACACAGGATTTGGACAAGATGGCCTGAATCCAACAGTGTATAAGAGCTGAGAGCTCATTCAGGATCCCTAGAATGTCTGGAAATGCTAAGTCGCCTGTGTAACTGGAAGAGCTGCACAAGGACGGAAGTGGCACAGGGTTGCAAAGGTGAGGTGCAGGAGTCTTTCCAGCCCCTTCGCTCAGCTCCCCCAGCTTGGTGAGCCCAGCCCTTTCTCACTGGCAGGAGTAGGAAGTCACTGCCTCTTTCTGAGCAGGGGAGTGGTATGCGTAAAGCTGTGCAGGTGTTGAGTGTGGCAGGGTACATGAAATGGAAGGTGTCGGGAGACAGCACTGATACCACCAAAGTCAGTGAAAATAGGAGGAACAGAGCCCAAGCTGGTTTTGGCAGCCTCAGAGCCACAGGCTTAAGAAAGGCAGGAGAGTTGTAGTTTGGTTTCTGCTTGGTGGTCTTAGGGAAAACTACTGAACCTTCACTATGGGACCTCAAGTTTACTACCTGAATATAAAGGGAGATCATTTATTTATTTAAATCTGCCATCTGATTATAAAAGCCTAAGAAATATTAATATATTAAAAGCTGCCTTCCAAAGAAAGAGTTTTACCTTCAAAGATGTTTCCTGTCTCACTGGATTCTATCAGGCAACACAACTGCCTGCGTCTCCTATTCTCCTAAGTACACTAATGTGCTAAATGGAGATGCCCAGCAAGTGGTGGCTGTGTGGGATTGGAGCTGAGAGAAGATGGAGCTGTAGGGTGCAAAAGATAGCAATGGGTGCTAGAAGCAAAGCCAATGAAAAGAAAACAAACCAACAAACAAAAGAAAAGGGAGCAAAAGGGTGTCACTAGGGGAAAACCAACAATCTCTCCATGATAACCCTGAAAGGAATATGACAGGAAAAACTTTGTTTTAAAAAGCAAAGCATATAATCTACTTTAGCATGTAAAGGGCTTTGGAAAGTTCTGCATCACAATTTTACATAAAGGAAGGTTCAGAAATAGATGGGAGAGGAGTATCTGCTTCTCGGAACCCAGCTCACAGGGGTGCTACTGACAAGACCCAGCTGTCCTGTGTGTACGATGGTTAGTCCTGACCATCAATGTGAGTAAGAGTTCAGTAGAACACACTTCTGGGTATGTCTGGATTGGTCGTGGGGGCAGACCAGGGGAGCAGATTTGGTCCCACACTCTGCTTACTGGTCACCATGATGTGAGTAGCTTTCTTCTACCTGCTCTTTAGCCACAGACTGAGGCCTCTAAAACTGTGACCAAAATACGCCTTCAACAGTGTATGGAAAGTGTTTTTGTCACAGAAAAACAACAACAACAACAAAAAAAGACTTGACCAATACAATTAGATGCATTACAAAAATGAGCACTGAGCATGTGCAATTTAAACCAAATGGAGATTAGCCTAAAAGCCATGTTTATAGCTGAGCTATCTGTTGCCCCAAGATTCCTGTGGTGAAAACCTAGCCCCTGAAGTGATGGTGCTGGGAGATGGAACCCTTAGGAGGTAACTGAGTCATGAAGCAGTGCCCTCATGAATAGGAGTAGGGCCTTCTACCACGTGAGGACACAGACTTCTATGAACTAGATATCAGATCTACTGACACTGTGATACTGGATTTGCCAGCCTACAGAAATTCAAAACATAAAAATTTGTTGTTTATAAGCTATCCAGTTTATGGTGTTTTGTTATAGCAGTCTAAACGGACTAAGACAAGCACTCATTCTGAACACGAATACCACATGAAAACTCCCGCCACTGGCATCTAACGCACTCACCATACCTAGTGTGGGTCAGGTATTTCATTATACCAGCGGAAGACCGACTAATACAGAGCATTATAAAATAAAAGAAGGGCAAATAAAAGTGAGGCCTATGCAAATGTTAGGGCATAACATTTTAGAACACCACATTAACTCAGCAATATTTGTGCAAGAAAAATACTCACTTGGTGATCTTGGTGATTGTATAAATTCAATCTGGCAGTCACAGTCATCTGATCTCAAAGCCTCATCTATTTCCTGCTCGTGAAAATAAAACTAGTGAGACTTATAGCCAGAAAGAATTCAATAGCTCTATAACAGAACAGAATTTAGAACACAGTATGACAGATTCACTCAGGGACTTATATGCAGGTGGTCATTAAGCCTAAATGTGTAACAAAATGATAACTAATGACAAGATATCAAGATAAATGACATATTCCTGAATGGAAATTCCATTTGATGTCAAGGATGCTATCTGACATGGAATCGTTCAACAGCATCAGCACTGAATAAATATGAGCTTGTCTTTCCTATGCCCTGCTTCCTAACTCAATGTCACCTCCTGGAGATTTTCAGTGTTATCCAGGAGAGGGCTACAGTCTGTTAAAAAAACAAAAAAGTTTCCTTCACTGCCCATCACCCACCCAATGTCAAATACCATTTTCTTTTTCCTTCCTCAAACCCGGAAGGGAAACAAAGCATGACTTGGTACCAGCAGCTGAGCGTTGTGCATCCTACGGGTCAGAGAGGAGCTCAGGCACCTCCCTGTGGGATGCTGATGGCAAGGCCAGAGCTTCAGTGACTCGGAGGAAACATCAGACTGAGACTTCTGCTGAGCTCAGCCATGAATCCAGCCTGGGCCAGGGCTGCCTGGGGCAACAGAAGCTGCACGAGCAACCTGGGGAGAAGGGGACCGCCCACCTTGCACAGCAGTGGTGGACTGGCACCCTGCCAAGCAGCCCAACTGACTGCAAAAGGAAAAGGGAGGAAAAACAATAAAACATCATGAGGGCAGGGGTAACTTGGCCACCAGATCCATTGTCACTCGTCCCCAAGAAGCCTCTTGGGGAATGTAAACAGAAGGCATAAAAACTAAGTGGAAAAATGATATTCAGCAGAAATGTTTTAAAGCATGTAAATGTCGCCAGGCATGGTAGAGCACGCCTGTGATCGCAGCACTCAGGAGGCTGAGGCAGGAGGATCACTGAGAGTTTAAGGCCAGACTGCACCACATAGCGAGACCTTGCCTCAAAAAATGAAAAACAAACAAAACATGCCAAACCTGTAAAAACAGGAGACTATCTGTTCATCTCTACCTGAGCTTACCTTCATGTTCTCACTACCACCGTACGCCATTTCCTGGTTAGCTTTCCGGAACTCTCGTCCCTTCTCCACGAAGCTCAGTGATGTACTAAAAGCAGGTGCTGGTAAATTCCTAGGTATATGGGCCCTGAAGAAGTAGAAGAAATGATCATTTTACTACTACAGTAGGCATTTTAACAAATGGTCCCTTAAATAACCAGGTACATGCCTGGTGGTACATGCCTATCATCTCAGCACTGAGGAGGCTGAGGCAGGAGGACTGCTATGATTTCTAGGCCAGTATGGGCTACACAGTCAGACCTCGTTTCAGAGAAACAAACGAAAAACAGTCTTTAGGACTCATACCTTTTTTACCTTGTTTTGAAAAGATTCTCTTCCACGAGACTTACACATAAATAGTGTTTTAAATTCAGCATCAGATTCAAAATATGCTAAGAATAGGTCAAGATAACTGTTCTGGGTTTTAACATTAAAGCAAGTCTTCTTGTTGTACATGTAATAGTTCTAATGCTCTACACTCTAAGCACAGGCACAAAAGCTTTATTTTAATTGTCAAATGGGCCACTGTAGAACCCTGGCTGCTGCCAATTTTCTTGAAAGCATCCCTGAGTCTTCCCGTAGCCTGGGAAAGACACCAGCAGCACAGAGCCCACGTCCGGGGCGAGGCAGCGCTCCCTCGGCCAGCACCCTCCAGGCCGAAGGACAACACTGCCGCCCTCTCCCAAGGCTCAGCGGCTCAGGCTACTCATCTCCAATAGCTACACACCCACCAGTTTGGGAAACCACAAAATCAACCTGGCAGCTCACAGGCCACCTGATTCTAAACAAGATCACAAAAATCCTCCTTTCCTCCCATCTTCAACTTTACTGTGGTGGCTATTAGCTCCTGAAGTGACAAACACAAGTGATTTTTAATCCATAGGGCAAAGGTGTTCCAAGTAGCAGCTACTAACCTGATAGTAACTCACCTGCTTTCATAAAAAGCTTTAATTGGATTCTTATTTGGTGTTCGACCTATAAAAGTCAATCACACACACACACACACTAATCAATGGATGAGCAACAGAGACTTCAAGATTTTAAAATTTCCCTTAAGCCGATAGTTAAGAAAAGCAAATTTGGAAAGCTGCAAACTAAACAATGTCACAATTCTAGGCTTGTGTGACATACAATTACATGTGATCGCTACAAGATGGCTGCCACAGAGAATTTGAGTAAAAGATGCTTCCTGCCCTTAAGCGTTCCCAATCTTAGAACCAGGCTGTGCTGGACGATAACACAGCCAGTGAAAAGGAAGCATTGAGCTCAGCTCCACAGACAGAATACTCTAAGGAATCAAATAGCGGGAAAGACCCATGCTGACAGTACTGAGTAAGAAAATCCTAAGCATTGGGGGGGGAAAGACTAAGAACAGGGAAAAAAAAAGGGTAGAACAAACTTCTACGACTCCTGGCCTGTACAGTCAGTTTATGCTGTGTGTGCGTGTGTGCACAAGCATGTTCACTATACTACAGAATTAGCAAAAATTGGTGCAAAATCAACAGGCAACTCTACTTAAAAGCCTTTTCTTTAGAAATTAATAATGGTTTAAAAAGTTTTCTTTCAAAAACCTTTATTCTAAATTTCTGGGAACAGGGTTTTTCTACAGAAGAGTAAAGAATAAATCGGTTGCTATCTGTTTCAAACAAAAACTGTAGCTGGGCATGGTGGCGCACGTTGGTAATCCCAGCACTCAGGAGGCTGAGGCAGGAGGTTCACTGTGAGTTCAAAACCAGCCTGGGGTACACAGTGAGTTCCAGGTCAGTCTTAACTACGTAGTGAGACCCTGCCTCAAAAAACCAAAAAAAAATAAAAAATAAAATAATAAAAAAACAAATAAAAACTGTAAGTCATTGATAATTACCTAACGGAACATAGACCTAATGTAATTCTATACAGCTAGAATGGAAACTTTGGTGACTTGACCAAGATAACATAACAAAGAACAAACCATCTGAGGACTCATCCATGGTCCTTCAAAATTTAAGAAACCCACCTTCCACAATGTTAATGGGAATTCAACCAAAACAATCTTAGACGAAATACCTTGCAGATCTTCTATTTGTTTTTGTAACTGTACATGCTGTTGAATTAGATCCTTGATTCCCTCAGGGTCATTTTTACAGAGTTTTTGAGCTTTTATGTTTGCTTGCAGGGCCCATTCATATTCTCCCAGCAGAGAAAGAGCAGTACAATAACGATAATGACCCTATTCCAAAAAGATAAATTTAATTTTTTTCTCAAAAGTATGCTTAAGTTAAAGAGAATAAGATAAGGAAAACTATTCTGCTTGAAGATGAACTACTTGAAAGGTTAGATTAGACCCCCCTCTATGGGAAATAAAAATGTTAATACCTTAGCAAACAAATTATCTGGAGATCAATTATTTGCTTAAAAAAATTTTATACCCCCAGCAAAGAACTTAACTTTTGCTGTATTTCATTAATAAGGTATAAAATACACAATTTTGTGCCAAACAAAAGTCATTCATTATACATAAATTAACTTAATTTTTCAAAATGCACAACAAGAGTCTCTAAGTTACAACACCAGTGGTGGCAAACCTTTTAGAACTTTCTATGATCCACACAGGGACACACGTGCTGTGGGTCACCACACCGCCCCACACCAGGAGACCGAGACGGTCTAAGAGCTGGAAGGCGCCATCCACGATGAGCATGTGCAGTCGTTCCCAGCACTTCTGAAGAGTGCAGTTAGGCTCTCCCATGGCCTTGTCAGTTTTTAATTATTTTACCTCTAAATATATCTGCTGGCTCTAAAAAATTTGAAAACCGTCGATTTTACTCAATTCCAATGATAAAGTTCCCTGTTTCCTTTTTCTGCCACAGAACCAAAATCCTCGCTGACTCTAAGATTGACTCTAAGATTTGGGAAATCTCAGAGAAAGCTAATAGTACCAAATCTGGAGCGGACCCAGTTAACCTCTCTCCTAGATACTCACAATCCAACTCCTAGTATAGGCACAGTGTCTCCACTAGAGAGATGATTTACCATGAAAGAGTTTAGAACTCAGGGCAAGCAAACCAGAGCCCCTGATTCTGATACCTGGTCCAGATCTCTTTCTTATCTAATACACGTTTTACAAACAACATTCTGGTTCAATGAAAATCCAGAAGAAAATATAAAATCAAAACTAAGGGCCCCTTTGAGGAAAGATCAACTTTCACTAAGAGAATCATGTGACGTATTTATGCAGGTTTGGTGTCGTGTTCTTGTGAATCTATGTGTTCAAGGCCCTTTTTATTCAGACTGTTTAGGCTAAGATCGAAGATCTCAATTTGGACAGCATTTCATAAGCGCTGCTTTTCCTCAGAGCGTAGGGCCCTGTTTCCTGACACCTTAAGTACAGGGACGTAAAAGATCTCTCTGACATACAGGTCATTTGTCAGCCTCAAAGTTTAGGTATCTGCAGTAAAAAATAAAACACAGATAATACAGGAGATAACAACAAATCCTAAGCCACACTTGCTAAGTCTGTAGAGGATACTACTTTTATTTTTCTTTTCCCCTCACTCTTCTCACCTTGTCTTGGATTCTTTTCCCTAAACCCTATAAACCCCAGTACACGCACAACTTCTGTCGGTTGAGAAAAGGGTTTATTCAGACCCTTTTGCTGAAGCTGTTTGAACCCTAAAAGTATCTTGGTGATCCTTGACCCCATTATCATCAAAGTTTCATTCTTGTTATCACATTTATAGACACTGCCTACTGCCTGGGAGCCTACCGTGTCCCACTCCTCACAGTCATGGAGGGAGGGTCAGACTGGGGCTCCTACCTGTAGCAAACAAAAGACATACAGGAAACCATGGCTTGCAAGACAATGGACACTGGGCAACAAAACAGTGATCCATGACAGGAGAGAAACACACAGGTCTGTCTCAGACTGCTCCGGCCTCAGCACACAAAGGAGCCCTGGCAGAGCCTGGTGTCTCCCTCGGTTAAGGAGGTGGTGGTGGGAGGCAGAAGGGGCACAGGACCAGAGAGGGAAGAGCAGCACAGAAGGGTCACTCCTAAGCACCCGCTGTGGGTCTTCAGCTGAGTTCTGATCAGCACATGCATGCTGGGCAGCTACTGAAGGCCAGGGAAAGAACCACCTGAAAGACTAACCGGAAAGAAGAGCTAGAACGCATGCAAAACCAGGTGTAACTGCTCTTCCCAGAAACCAGCGTGGAAAATGTCCTAATTCACAAGGCATCAAGTTGAGTACTCAGAAAAATTTTGCCTCGTTAGTGAGGAAAACTTAGCCTTTAACTAAATGCCACTATGACCCACCGCACAAAGTTTAAAACAAGACTCCAAAGAATTAAACTGCTCCTAACTTACTTTACTGCATCACAAACAAAGCTCAAGAATATTTACAGACTCTACTCAGCCATAAAGAATGAGAAACTAAGCTGGGAGTGGTGGTGCACGCCTGTAATCCCAGCACTCGGGAGGCTGAGGCAGGAGGATCACTGTGAGTTCGAGACCAGCCTGGGCTACGTAGAGAGTTCCAGGTCAGTCTCAACTACATAGTGAGACCCTGTCTCAAAAACCCACCCTCCAAAAAAGAATGAGAAACTAGAGTCATTCAGAGGAAAATGGATGCATATTGAGGCCATACTCTTAAGTGAAATAAATAAGACACACGTGTAAATATTGAATAGTTTCTCTGGTGTGAAAAACTAAAAGTGTAAATTGTGTAACTGTATACAAATTGTATAGCTGACATTGTGAAATAGGAAGAAAAGGGCTAAATGTGTAGGGGAAGTGGGAAGAGTAGGGAAAAGAAAATAAGGGACAAGAAAAAATATGAGAAGAAAAAAAATGGAAACAAAGTCTTTGTGAATGGGAGAGGGTCGGGGGTGAAGGGAGGGCAGGGGAATGGGGAAAAAATGAGAACCAAGATCTGTCATGTAAGGGTACAAGAACCCAATGAGGAATGTAACTGTACTGTATAAAAGGGTTTATTCAGACCCTTAAAAAGTACCAATAAACTCAGTAAGATTAAAAAAAAAAAGTACTTACAGGCTTCCAGGCATGGAGGCACAATCCTATAATCCCAACACTTGGGAGGCTGAGACAGGAGGATTGCCCTCAGCCCAAAAGGGGGGGGGATATTAACAGAAATCCAAAGATAATCAGCAACAAACAAGGTAACATTCATAATGCTTGGAACTGAATTAAAAATTTCAAGGTATGCAAAGAAGGAAAGTATAACCTATGGAGTGGGGGGGTGATCAACAGAAAACCCACAAATGAACAGATGAGAGAATCAGTATACAAAGACATTAAAACAATTATTTAATGATATTCCACATGCTCAAGAAGCTTTAGGAAAGACTGAACATAAATATTAAGTGAAGACATGAAATGTATAAGACCCAAATTTAATTTCTAGAGATTAAAAATTACATATGATTTATGTTAAAAAATACACTAGATGGAAAGAAAGACTAGACACTGCAGAAGAAAGTATCAGTGAACTCGAGGACACAGCAACAGAATTAAGGTAAAAGCCAACAGAAAAGGGAGGAAAAACCCCTAACATGAAACTTACAAACAGGCAAGTACAGAACCCAGAGAAAGATGCAGCTCGAGATCCAGCCAGGTCTGACAGGAACCCCTATGCTTTTCAGTTACAGCAGCCAATAAATTCCCTTTTTCTGCATAAGCCAAATCTGAGTCAGGTTCCTATCACTGCCAAGGAAAAGTACCAATACATCCCTCAAAATTAAAAGTTTAAGGACTTTTGTGAGGCTACTGGTTTGCATCCTGTAAATCATACATTAATAGACAGTGCACACAGAAATGTGAACAAGAATCTATTGACTATATCACAAAAATTCTCGCTCTAACACACAGTGACTCCTCTTCTCGGAAGCCTGAGAGTACTCTGAAGGCAGATGGCGCTGTGTGAGACTTCTCTATCTGTAAAGAAGGAAGCAAAGTGGACTGCTCTCACACAGAATCTAAAGAACCTACCTATGCAGACTCGGGTTCACACCTAATTCTAAACAAAGCAATTCTTACACAACTAAAGAATGCACCTTGCCCAGTCTACTTTGCTTTCGGAGTTTAAACTATCCTTCTTATCTGATAGGAGAGAAAAAAGCCTAATTATATAGTCATCAAATTTTTAAATGTTCAACAGCTGCTGTACTTTTTAATCTACACAAATAGTTCTGCTCACATGACATCATGAAATGTCCCAATTTTTAAAAAGGAGCATATATTTTGTGTCTGACAAACTAAGCCAGGAACAAATATTCTCCAAAAGTTGTCAAAATAATTCAGAAAGTTTTAACATGCTTTTAAAAAATTGATAAAAGATTAAAATTTTTAAGAGTATCTCTGGAAAACCAGTATCCTGGTCTGGATTTTGGTATTCAGAATTTTATTATGCGTTCATTCTACAAATACGTATAGAGCACCTGCCAAAGGACAGGCTCACTATTTCACTTCAAACAAAGAGACCCAAGATGAAAATCCTTGATAACAGGCATCATCTAGTGCTGACTTTTCCCCTTTTACTTTATGCCTGGTTCTGTACTTTCTCTTCTCAATCACATGCTACTGTTAAAGGACAAGTTTGGTTTTTAAACATATTGAACAAAATAAAACTAAATCCTATAATTAATCCAATAAAGTCTATCAGCAGAGATGCAATGAATGAAATACAATTCTCTAAGGCCCTAAAAATGCTACAAAATCTACTCATTCTCGTTTTTTTTTTTTTTTAAGTAAAACCAGAAATCAATATGAAACATGTCTGTCTTATCTGAAGCTCCATTTTTTAAAAAAATTTGGATGTTTTTATGATCTAGAAAAATGCAGACTTACGGACTCATGTTACAACCAGAATTATGCTTTGAAACTTGTTACACTTTCTTCCAAAGATCTTTTAGTAAAAGAAGTAAAACCACACAGTACGGGTAGAATCTTGGAATCTCTCCAATCTCCTTCCCTAGCCCAGGAGCAGAGTATGCCATACTTTTACTGATTTTTTAAACTTAATACTGTTTTGAAAAATCAATAAATGTTGATAAGCCAGTCAACTAATTTCAACTGCCGTCTAGTATCTGCTTTTCACTCACAAAGTCAACAAATATTATTCATGAGAGCCTGCTCTGAGCCAGGCAGCTTGTCAGACAGTCCAGACTCAAGAATGAAGCTAGGGACGGGGATTTAGCTCAGTGGTTCCCCTGCCTGCCTTGCAAGCACAAGGGCCCAAGTTCTATCCCTGGTACCACCCCCCCAAAGTGTGAAGCTAACAGACCAAGATACCTTTCCTTGTACAGCCCCCCTTCAACTGGAAGACATAACCAACATAGCTTAAACAGTACACCAAGTGTGTTTAGTAAAAATTCTAAGAAGAAAAAATAATAGCCAAGAAAAAGGATAGAAAACGTCTACGAGGGGCAGGTTCGGCATTTTAATAGTGTGGCCAAAGGTTTCACCAAGAAGAGAATGCTTAAATGAAAGCACTGGGTGTGGTGATCCACAGATTATACTCTGAATCTTTGCACTTGGAGGCTGAGGCAGGAGGACTGCTTGTGAGCTCACCCTGAGCTATACAGTAAGTTCAAGGCCAGCCTGGACTGGCTCTGAGCTGTTAACATTCACACACACTGCCCACAAAGCAGGGGGAAGAAAAGGAAAAAACAGAAGGACAGTGAGTAAGGGAGCTAGCTGAGGCTGTGGGGAGATGCATGGAGGCAGAGGAAGAGCAAGCACAAGGTGAAGTAGGCCCAGGAGGTGCGTGCTGAGCCACAGAGAGCAGCAAGGTGAGGGCGGGGGAAAAATGCGAGGCTTTTGGGGGACAGATCAGACCGTGCTCCGTGCTTTCTCTGGGGACATTTAGGCACCTGAGGAGTTCCACATTATACAAAGAATGCTGTGGTGACCAACGCCGTACACTGCACTACGTGAAATGTTCCCAGATACACCTGTGGGAAATCAGGTCACTATACTGCATTATGCACACACGTGAATTACAGGGTGCACAACCTAGTGTGCTCCGAGCCGGCTGTGAGCGATCTACACCCTGGCAGTTTCCTGAGGGTTCCTGTTACTACTCACTAGGGATCTACACGCAGGACCCTGTGCTCTGAATTGTTATCAATCGCAAGGACCCGAACAACGTCACACTGTTTTATTTACACAGGCTCGGGTGGGTACTCTGGAGGGCCCCTGTCCCCACGAATGTCACCTTCTATCTGCACCAATCTTTAATTTCAATTCCTGGGAATCAGAACATAGTTTCTGATTTCTACGGGCATTCAGATGACTCTTCTGTGAAATGTTTACTTTCCGTTTTGATTCATTTTCTACTGGGCTTCTTACTTATTTTAGGAGCTCTCTGCATACGCTGGATCTAAGCCCCATCAGCTGTGCTCATGCATGTCATCTGGGACAAACAGCCTCCCCCAGCCGCCTGTTTCATTCGCGTCTTCTGACATACAGAAGTTTTAGGTTGATCAATTATATCCAGGTAGGTTTTGGGGCTTTTTTTCACCATTGCAGATTTGTGTATTTAGCCTCATGTAAAAAACCTTGGGGTTGGGGGCGTAATCCAGTGGTAGAGCTTGAGCTCAAGCACCAGAAAAAAAAAAAAAAAAAAAAAAAAAAAA